CCCTCATGTGGGGCACCGCAATTTGCGCTGAGAGAAACGTAACAAAAGCATATGGAAGGCCCATGCCTTTCGGAATGCGGGCACTTTTCTTTACCCACACAACTTTACCAGGTCAGTGAGGCCCCTCTGACCAAACATCGCGAGGCCAAGTTGGAATTTTTCAGCAGTGGGAATTTACCGAGCTTAAGATGCCTGCGCCCTACGCAGCCTGTCTTGCCAAGTGCCACTGCACAGCCGGGTGGAGGCGCTCGAAGTGAGCCACCAGTGCTATGAGCTTCAGGTTGAGGTGGGGATGCTGCCATCCTGCCAGGTGAGCAATTGGCCCCCCAGCTTTGGGTTCAAGACCTCACGTTACTCCATGCGCCAATGGAACGAGCAAGAAAATGAATAACATATTCGAAGCAATCCCAACCAAATGCCGGTGGGATCTCGAAACGGACGGAAAAGAAAGAGGAGCAAACTTGATCTTCGCAGCTTGGCCGATCATGTACTGGCCTTCAAGCCAGCTGCTGATCTCGTCCATGTTCGAAATCCATCGGCCGGCACCTACGCACCACGCAAGCAGTCAGGCCCCTTTGGCCGAGCCAAGGCCATTCTGGCCAAGCCGAGGCACGTCTTGGCCTTTGCACCTCGGGATATGGTCAAAATCCTGTACCCCCAGTGAACATCCCAATCCCCACTGAAAATGGTTCTAAAATGGGTGGCGCGCCTACCCCAAAATGGTACCATTGGTTTTGACCCACGGCCATACGGCGCCATGTTACAAGCGAAACAACCGCATGGTACAGAGGCATTAAGCTTGGGGCCCAAAGTATGTGGATGCGCTGAGCAGCCTGCAAAGCACGTCCCAGATCCATAAAGAAATCCGCGACAATCCAACTCGGCCGAAATCGAATTCGGCACCGATTCGTGCAGCGACCTGAGAGCGGAGATTCCCCTTACGCTTTTTCTTGGAACTTAGGGTCAACCCGTCCAACCGAGGCTGCGAACAAGCTTTATTGAGCATGGCTGTTCACTCTATTCGGATTCGACTACTACTTTTGCCAGGCTTTTGCCAGGCTCTTGCCAAGCTTTTGCCAAGCTTTTGCCAGGCTTATGCGGTCTTTGGCACTTCCACCAAGGCTGAGTTGCTGGCATTGCTGCGGTGCGCGTTTGCTTTTCGTGATGCAACTTGTTTCTCTTTTGCGGAAAATACCAACTCGCCCGCAACTGCAAACTCTAAGAGGCTTGCCCATCTGTTTGGTATTGTAGCCACTCTCCGTACTGTTACGGGCAACTGCCAGCCCGCGTTAAAATTGATGCGGTCCAGTAAGCTCTCGTGCTTTCATGAAACACGTTCTTTTTCAATATGTTCAGGTTGCATTCCAGTACATGCCAATGCGATTCGTCAAGGACGGCTCGGTGTTGAAATTGGGATGACGGCTTGAATTGGATCTGTTTGCCACGGAACACTTGTTGGCCACGTACAAAGATTTGCCAGAAAGCTGGCAAAGGTCATGACCTTTACTTCCCCCGTCGACGCAAGCAAGCAAGCAAGCATTCATCGGTCGGGCCTCAAAGGCGTCAGCAGAGTGGACCAGCCGGACCTGAAGATGTCAGAAGCCCCCCCTTTGGGTCCCATCACCGGGATCTGCAAATGAATGTTTTTTTCTTTGCGGCGCCCCCACAATGGAGTGGTTTTCCTTTGGGTTTTCCTGCAAAAAAAAACAAAGGATGTGGGTTTTCCTTTGTTGTACTCGTTGGCCTCCGCCTCGGTATCCAAGATGGCCTTCTGCTCCTTAGCCATTTTGTGTGATTTGACACTTCGGCGAACCGAAATGGGGCCACCAGGATGCTACCATCATTGTCCTTTGATGCCAAGCTACCCGCTTATGAGATCACGTTGTGGGTCCCTGATGGTCATTTTATGTAGATTGACACTGTTGATCTCCCCCGCCTCATCTTTCTCCCTGGGCAATTGGCGCGGCGGCAGCATCAGGTACTTCATGCCGTCCTCAAAGGCATCGAATTTCCAAGCCACCCCAAGCCACCCCAAGCCACCCCAAGCCACCCCAAGCCACCCCAAGCCACCCCAAGCCACCCCAAGCCACCCCAAGCCACCCCAAGCCACCCCAAGCCACCCTTCCGAATGCCCCTTGGCGGCCGGCTGGAGTGAAGTAGTTCATGTCCATCCGGCTGCCTGGGCCCATCCTCAGTTGCTGGGTGCACCAAACGCATTTCGCAGCGCCGTTTCTGAGGTGCTGTCTCGGACAAGGAAGCCGCATCATAGCGTTTCCTGCGCAGAACTCATGTGGGTGAGATTCAATTCCAAGTCTCGGAGCTGTTGAAGCGGGTGCGGGCATGTGTCCATTTACCAGGGCTCCCAGAATGGGTACCTATTTTTGACCCACAGCCAAGCCACCCAAGCAGTTGAAGCCAAGTCGCGCTGCAGATGTTCTCATGGCCCTGTACATCTTAAGCTCTGCATCGAATGCATAGCCAGACTCGTGCGCAGGTCCTGTTCAACTGTTCCAAGATGTTCTACAAGCAAGTCATCTACAGGTGGTCTGCACCCCTCAGTCCTTTGCTCTGCGCAAACACGGACGCCAAATAATGGTGGTAGAAGGCCACGACCCTCGGCGTCACAAATCCTCCCAGCCTAGGTGTCAAGGCGACGCACCAAGCCCTGTCCACGGCGCTCAAGGCAAATTGCCATTCTGTCTCGTACCTCATGTGCGCAGCGACCAAGTGGATGGACGAAATCCATTTCGCATCCTGTAAGAAACCCTGGATTAATCGATTCCCCTGTAAATACCAACCAACAATTGTTTCCGACGGTTTCCCAGTTGTGCCTAAGATAATTTCGCAACCATCCACAGTATCTCATGGTGCGCGACCAAAATTTCAAAGGACAAAATATTTTTGGCATCCCAAGTCTACGCTGCTTCCCAGGAATGCCGATCGCTGCCCATGTCAGGGCTGCGTTTGATGGCTATTAGAACGGCTGGTGCGCAAACGAAATAATCAGTCTTTTTTAAAGCAGAAGAGCCCCTCATGGGGGGTGGGTTTGTTGACACACAGGGATTTAGTAGATGTTTTTTTTGCGTATGCAAGCCCATGCCCATTCTGCACAATCGTCTTTCAAGCATGGCAATGCTTGAGCCAAGCTCTCCGGCCCGGTCCGGAGAAGCTCTCTTCCGAAGATGACTCGCGCGTAGCACTTGGTTTCGTCATCTGCTCCTGGCGTGGTTCGTGCGACAGCATGTTCACAACAAACACATGGGGCCTAGGGGAAGTGGCGGCATCTCCTAGGCTGACAAACTTTGCAAGACAGAGTGGCAATATGGCGGGTGTCCATTTTTTTGGGGGATCCCTGAAATGGTGGCATTGTCCTTTTGGTTTCCCTGTAAAAAACCACAAAGGGAGTCCACCAAAAGAAGACAGACCCATATATGGTACAATGCTTTCTCTCTCAAGCCAGGAGTCCGAAAGTGGACCCCACCAAAATCGCCACTGAGCTGGAATGACCGTCCTACCAGAAACGTGTCACACGCAACTTCAGTCAGCGGCGCACGGGCGCAAGGACTCTGGACTCGCGCTCTAGGAGCCCGGCTGCTGCGCCCCGACCGCGACCGCGCCCGCGCCCCCCCTGAGGCAACTCGGAAGATCCGCGCATCTGCGAAGCAAAGATTTTCGGTATCTCAGCTGAGGTTCTGCGAGTCCAGCTTGTCCGAGGCTGAAGAGAAAACCTTCAGTCGATCCAGGTCGAACCCCGGCAAATGAAATTGTCCGCGCTGAGCGAGGAACTCGCCAGAAGTGAACCTGCCTGCGGGCATGAAAGGCCTTGCGGACGGGTTGTGTAAACAGCTCACGACGGCCTTTCGGCAGATCCTAGCGCTTGCGCAAACCTGAGCAGGCCGCATTCAGGAAGGCCAGGCGAATGTCAATCTCGCTCCTGGCTTTGAAGTTATATTTCCATATTGGTCTCTCGATAATATGGCCATGGGTCAAAACCCCGGGTATCCCCCAGTGAACATCCCAATCCCCACTAAAACAGACTAAATTGGGCAGTGCACTTACCCCAAAATAGTACCATTGGTTTGACCCACAGCCATATAGATTCGGAGATCTCTTTTCGGATGGGAAACCAAAAGGAAACCTGGAGGAATTGGTCCCCAGTCTTCGGAAGTCATATCTTCTCAAGGGATCGATCCTATCGACTCTGCTCCCCCGAGATGCATCCTGGGTATGCAGAGGCCATAGTCTGGATGATGCAGTTGCCAGGCCACTGGTATGGTGGAATGCAACCTCAGAGTCTTAGCGAATGGATTGTAGCCCGACATGTGTCGTTGTGTTGAGTACTGCCACTGGACATGATGACGAGGAATAATGAGATGCCTGATAAGCAAACTGTTTTGGAAGCCGTGCACTCCGATCTTGGCGTGCGACACATGGAAAGGATTGTGCAGCCTGAGTTCACAAGCAGCTTCAACGACCGAGTGCATTGAGGGCATGTGGCCATGGGTCAAAATCCAAATCGTTCCCCAGTGAACATCCCAATCCAACCACAGCCATGTGGCTGTGGTTCAAAAATAGGTTTTAAAAAATGGCTTGCCCCGGCAAGCGGCAACATGGACAAAAAAAATCCTGCGGTCCAATTGCTGGTGGCTTCATTTTGACCACCACAACCATGCGCGTTTTTGTGCGGCGTGTGTCAAGCAGCCTCAAGGCCACAAGCGCCCGTTTCCTTCGAGGAGTTCGTCGCCGAGTGTCGAAGTGCCGCTGATCAACGCCGGCACAATCAGCAACGTCTGGACCTGGCGAGAAAAAAACCGCGAGCGAACCGTGAGTGGTCAATGGGCTGTCCGGGGCGTGGCATATCTAGGTCCCCTTGAAAAGGCGTCCAAGCAGGGGTCCATTTGAGGCAGAATCAAAGCCCAGCATTTTGACAGAATGTACAGAATTAAGAAGCCGGAGATCCGCAGCTTTTGGCAAGGGAATTGTGCCTTACGAACCTTCATCTACCCGAATCGGTTCTCAGCACGTGGCTCATTTGTTCCCCAACAGGTTCTCATGCCGGGCCTTGCCTCCGAAGAATTTCTCGGATGCAGTGACCTGCCACGTCAAAATCTGCCACCATCGCGGCACATGATGCGCGTGCCGTTTTGAGGGTTCCCCTTTTCTGGTTGTTCCAAGAGGAAAACCCACCCTTTTGCGGGTCCCGAAATATATATATATATATATACACATAAGAGACGCCCCCAAATCCAAAATCACTTCGATTCTCCGTGCGTCTCCTTGAAAATCCAAAAGCTTTGGCCTGCTGGCTGGATGCCTCCTCTCCACGGCGTTAAACCTGGAGAGAAGTGCCGGACGCGGCGCTCACGAACAGATTCAACAAAGTGGCATCAAGAATCAATCAAACATGTGTTCTTGTCAAAAAAGCAAATCAGGACATGGCATCAAGAAACCATCGATGTCAATTGAAAAAGAACAAACAACACAGGACGTGATCAACATGTGAGAATCATCAATAATTCTGCAATCAAGAATGAAGACACCAAAGCTGGTTTGTAAGAACGAAGACACCAAAGCTGTGGCCCCAAGAATTCGGGCTGATCGACTAGGGCAAGGATTCCGACAGATCGATGAGGCCATCCAGCTCCTAGCCGCGGCTTCGCGATCGTTTTATCGAGCTCCAGGCTCGAAGTTGCCAAACTCGCCGCCTTGGCCAACCCGGACTGCACCCCGAAACGTCCGGCCGGCCGGCGGCCGCTGGAATGTGAAGTCCACTCCGAGCCCGACACAACCAAGCAGCTTTCGAGGAAGCTTGGCCTGACGGAAGTTGGGCTTCAAACCGCATACATCCAGACTGGCAACTGTGGCGTGCTCGGCAAACTTATTTCGCTCACGCCGTTTCCGAAAGCAAAGCCCACCAAGCCGTGTTTCTCTGCGTGTGGCGAACACGATGGCATTGGGCTCAAGCGAAATGCAAAATGATCCATGGCACAAGGCTTTGGTCAATGCCGAGCCTTCGACTTGCCGAAGAGTATGATCTTCCTGTCCTCCGGAGCCGGTGACTCATGCTGATCGCGTTCAAGCCAACAGCTAACTGTGGCTGAACGAAATCCATTTCGCACCACCTAAGAAACCCTGGAATGGTGATTCCCCTGTAAATGCCAACAAGCAGTGGCTTTTCATGGGTGCAGGATTTTGTCCGCCCACAGAAGGTCTCTCATGGCTCCTCAATGCATGCGTTTTCCAGCATCCAAACGCATCCACTGGGCGACAACTGCCTTGCTCTGGATGCCGCCGGCGTTTGGACCTGTCACTGCAAGGCATTCGGACGCTTTTGCATCTCTCTGCTGCGCACCTCAGTGACTGCCTCGAGCCCACAAGGTTCATCCGCCTTAGGGAAAATTGTGGACAGCACAAGAGGCATGGCGTGTTCATCAACTTGCTGGTGCTCAGTAGGGAATGTGGAAATGAACCCAGGGGATGGGGTTTTCTCGATGGGGTTTTCTCTGGTCATTCCAACTCATTCCCTGCCTATCGCACATGTTCATCAAACTGGTCTTTGTGGTGCTCCTTACCTCACCCTTCGAGTGAGGCGACTTCACAGCTTGACCAAGGCAAACAGCCTACGTGCAATTCTTGTTGGCTGTACAGATGTCAAAAGTGCATGAGATATTATGGGGACATGCCCCCGTCACTCCCATGCAAATGTAAACAAGTAAAGCAGCTTTCATGGCACTCTTGCAGATCTGCAGCCACATCTTCATGGCAACAGCTGACCAGTATACAACTGGCACACACCTTGGACAATTGTGCAGTGTATTTCAAGAAGTGGACCTTCATCAGGAACCACACCATGGACGTCTCCCATTGATCTTTGATCCTGTGCCAAGAGTATTGTCAGGGAGAGTGCTTGCAGCAGCATTCTTTGAACAATGTTGTGCAAAGTAATTCGAGAAGTGGATCTTTATCAGGAATTATATCATGGATGTCTCCCATTGATGTTTGATCCTGCAGCAGCATTCTTTGAAGCCTTTCATTGTGCAGTCAATGGAAACTTCATCTACACTTAGAGAAGAACAGTCAGCGAGTGTCAACCAAATCTGAAGTTGTTTGGGCTCAAGTTCCCAAGTTCGTCGATCTGTGCACCGGGTCTGCGTCCCCTTGAACTGTTTTGCTTGACTTGATGCATCGAACCCGCGCTCTAGGTACTGCAAGGTGGGGTCCACCTCTTGAAATGCACTGCACCATTTGCTAAGTTGTGTGCCATTTGCATACTGGTCAGGGTCAAAATCCAAATCGCACAGTACCCCCAGTGAACATCCCAATCCAACCACTAAAATAGGTCCAAAAATGGGTGCCGCACCTACCCCAAAATGGAGCCATAGGTTATGCCCCATGGCCATGTCGACGACTCCTGCGCCAACCTCGTTGGCCATGTTTTTCCGCTCCCACAGGTCCCGAGCTTCGCCGCTTCCTTGCGGCGCGCCAGCGCTGCGACTCGGCCTGGTGGCATCGTTGTGCGTGCGTGCGGTGTGTGAATGGGATGCGAATCTGATGCAGATGATCCTTGTGGCGCAAAAAAGTCAGAATGTTGTCCCCGTTCCCTCTCCCATTCTGTTCAACAAAAATCCATCTGTCTAGAAAATGACCCAACTGGGGGAAAGTGCTGGTTTGTGAACAGCAGGATGGGTGAAAAGAATGGGTATTCAACCCATAGAATAATATCTAGTCGTGGCATCCGACAACTCCAAGCGCCCTGCGGAACTGCAAAGAACACATTGGAGTTCGGATGGCTGCGAGAGCGCCACCTGCAAAAAAACCGAGCACTCCAAGACAGGTTGATTGCCTTGGTACCCAGTTTCAAGGGATGGCTCCTTCTAGAATTGTCTGTCTGGGCGGCCTCTTTCGATGCATAATCAAAGCACGTCAACAGTTTGAGTGATTTTGGAGCCTCCATATTCCTGGCACAGCAGTAGGCTCCCTCGTCAGGCGCTAACATTTGCTCTCCAAAAGGCCGCGATATGGCCCCTGACTATGGATGAAGAACCACTGAGGCTCAGCACCAGCGAATTAGGGGCAGCCTTCTGCACAAGTTATCTGGAAGTCCAATCCCTTCAGATAGGACTTGGACATCCACGACCGCCTCCCCGGGTTCCTTCAGAAACACGGAACGAGTGTGCTTCGTTGTATGCTACGTTGACTCAAAGACTCAAATGTCAGAAGATGTCAGAAGCACATCCGTTCCAGCCCAAAGACTCTCTCTCCGTGACACTTTGTGACACGGAAAAGACAACATGCCGTGCTGCACACGCCGCACGCTGCAAAGACTGGCACCGGTGACCGGCCCAAAACTTGCGTGCAACTTGGCGCCAGGCGCTTACTGACATTGAGGCATTTTTTGTGGGCCGTTTTGATTCCCAGCTCGCGCCTCGCTCGTGTCAACGATCTACGAAAGGCAAAATATGTTTTTGGGTCGTGCACATCGGCTGTCCGATTGAACTTCACACTCACATGGCTGTGGGTCAAAACCCTGTACCCCTGGTGAAGATCAAAATAGGTGGTACATGGGTGTTCATCTGCCCCAAAATGGAGGCATATGGAGGCATAGGTTATGACCCATGGCCACATACCGCGCAGGGTGCGTGGGGCATGGGATATATGTGTGGCCACAGCCCATCACGCGAAGAGCTTCCGCTCGAAACTGTGAAGTCCGTGAACCCCTCCTTCACCTCACCGAAGCACGGAAAACCCCAAACCGCCAAGGCCGTGAGCCACGGCTGAGTGAGAAACGCTCGCTGAATTTGACGGCTGCTTGGGGGGTGGATGGGAAAAACTGATAAAAGACTTGACAAGCTCTGGAAAGCCGAGGAATAGATCGAAAGTGGCGATGCGACGTTCCCCAAGTGCAAGTATTAGATGGCAATCCTTGTTTGCGGCAAGAAGGTGACAAAGCAAAGGGTGCACATGGAAGGTACGACAACTCAGCCAAAGGTTTAGAGTTTAGAGAGGCCCGGTGCGCTCAATTGACGTCGAGGAGCATTGCAACAGTTGAAGAAAACGTAAGGCATAGGTGAACCCCCCTTGCTGGATAGCAATCCATCAACCTGTAAGCACAACAAACAAGTTCTCCAACAATAATTCCCTTTCTGAGAACAGGAAAGGCTAGGGAATGGAGAAAGTCGTTCGGGGAAGAAGACATGGCTGCCCGTGCGGAGGCGGTGAACAAACATGATCCCCCTGGCTGTACTAGAACAGTACTAAACCAATAAATTAACATATATGAACAAATACTCATCCCACGCTGACTGCTCAATAATAGCCTCGCCAATGAGTCACAATCAAAACCCGGTATTAAAATGGTCTACCCAGAACCATGTAAAGAATTAAGAAGGCGGCCGCAACTATTTCTGGCTGGGACTGCCCCTTACTAACCTTCATCTACCCGGGTTTTGATTGTGGCTTAACTGAGGCCTCAAACCGCCAAATTCTTTATGACACCCTTTATTAAACGGCAACAGAGAGCCCCAGAAAGGCGTAATATTCGGTCTAGGGTAGGAAAAAGAGAAAACACACATCTCTGGACCAGTACGCAGGAATGCTTAGCCAATACTAAGCCAATTCTATACGGCACTGAGCCAGTACACAGGAAAACTAAACCATACTAAACCAAGTCTAACGACACCGACCCGACACACAAAAGAACCAGCAACTACAAACAAAAAATAATAATAATAATAATAGTAATAATAATAATAATAATTGCGGTTTTGGGCGAACACGAAGTAGCCCAGGGAAGCAAATGAGTACAAAGAAGATCACAATGTACCCAAAGCACCCGGAATCACAACTCGGGTGAAGCTGTGGATGATGACCGGGTTGAGGAAGTGACGGTTAGTAAAGAGAAGTTTGGGGAAGTTGGGAATCAAGTTGAAGAAGTATAAGTACTCAACCAAGCCCAGCAAACCCTGCCGCACCACCGGATACCTCCCACAACCAACTGCCCCCAGCACCGAGACCTTTTCCCGGTGATGTGGGCGGCTGCCGTTGTATGGCGTCCGCACGTGGTGCCAGAGCTAAACTGACGGGGGGTTGAAAACTTGAGCCAAACGGCCATTCGGCCGTTTTGCCACATGAAGAAACAACACGTGAACAAAACACACCCCCCTCATCCGATATCTGGACGAGAGAAAGGATGCGAGACAGTTGAGTTCACGACGAAAGGGACCAACCAAAAATGCCGGTGTCAACTCAGAGGTGAGCCAAACGGCATCACCTGGGCCCCAGTTAAAATCCCGCCACCACCCCGAATTATCGGGGCGACAGGTTTATTTGACGAGTGGACCACATGAGTGAACAAAGACATATTGGAGGAACCAGACGAAGATTCCTCTCGTGCCGTTCATGCGTTGTCATGGGACGACACCATGCGGAGGGGGACCCTATCTGGATCACCGCGCCTCACTGCACGCCGTGGAGTGGTTGGAAGAGTAGTCGAGTTGGGAGGAAATTAGAAACGGAAGTTCCGAAATTGGTGTGAAAATATCCGGCTACGGCCGGCCCGGCACTTCTAGTGCGGTCACAGCCTCACACAGGATCGCCAGGGGAACCGTCTCCGGCGCGCACGGCAGCGGTGCGGGAGGGACACGAACAACGCCGGATCAGCGGTACAGGGCAATGGAGACCATCACCCCCAGCAGTGCCGCATGGGCGAGAGGGGGACCGGCGCGGTCGCGTTTTTCGGCGACACACGTGCCATCCTCGCCCTTCTAAGGCGGACGCTGATCGCGGTACCTGCCTACCACCCTGAACCAGGTTCTTCCCGGTCTCTGGGCGCGTCGTCTCTCCGGCGTCCACCGCGGTCACCTCGATCACCTCCTCCATCCCGACGGCGATCCTCACCACCACCCCTACTGTGGTCGCCAGCCGGAGGTCGGCGAGGCGGAGGGGGATCTGAGTGGTGACGTCGGTCATCCCTGCGCCGGTCCCGGTGGCGATCGCGACGGTCATCAGCCGGGTCATCACGTCCGCGGCGCTCATCTCGCCCCGGACCGCGCCTCTCGGAGGTCTCCTCATGACGTGGAGGAGGTCGGCGATCATCGCGTCGGCCTCCGCGGGTATCCCTGCCACGATCAACCCTTTGTCGGGGCGGGCCAGGATCCTCGCGTCCACCTTTGCCAGGTCGATGTTTTCCTCGACCCTTCCCCTCACCCTTAGGGCCGCGACGATCCTCGCGGGCCCCAAGCGCGGTCCTTGACCGATCGTCATCTCGGTGGGGCCGTGACTCATTGGCCGCACGAGTGGTCCGAGGCACGCGCGGGGGAAGCTCCCGCTCATCGTTGTCGTCATCGCGCGGGTCATAGCCGCCATGGCCGCCCAAGGAACCGGTGGCTTCCCGTGGTGGGGACGCAGGAGTTCCGGGACCGCCCGATCGAAGACGAACCCGGGGAGTCGCGTCCTCGCCGGTAAAAGGGTCCTTCTGGGTGTAGAAACCCTTGGTTCTGCCCCTTCTCTCCCCCCCTTCCGCACCGCTTCTCGCGGGGACCGGGGATGGACGGGCAGGCTGGGCCATGCTCTTAGAGCTGGGTTGCCCGCCAGGCGGGACTTGAACGCCCCCCTGCCCTTTCTCGGGCGCGGGGACCCGACCACGGGATGTCCTCCTGGCCTTGGGTTGGTCGGACTCACCCTCCAGCTCGGACTCGGTGTCAGGGACACGAGTATTGACGGCCATGTCCTCTTCCTCAAACGGATCCCCAGCCGTGGTAACGCCTGCAGCAATGGGAGCGGGAGGAGGAGGAGGAGGAGTTGGCACAGGATCTCCTCCTCGTCGTCGCCCATGGGCTCGTCAAGGTCGTCAGGCTTCTCGTCATCTTTGTGCGAAGACCCATCCGATCCCAGCTCATCCTCCGCTGATCCAGCAAAGTTGGGCTCGTCTTCGTCTTTCACGCCGGGGCCTGGTGTAAGGCGAATTCCGGGTCGATGGCGATCGCGGGGTCGGAAGCGGTATTTCCTTGGTACAGGGTCAGCCAGCTCCTGTTTGATGTCATCCTGGGTTTGAGGACGGTCGGCCAAGCATGTGTCGTAGGCAACGGTGGACGTCCGGTAGATCAGATCATCCATACTGCTGAGGTCGTTGAGCGTGTAGATGTATCCCTTCTTAATGCCTTCCCGTGTCGTGTCCATGGCCCGTTTGAGGCGCGCGGCGGGATCGAATCCGGCCTTTCTCCGCATGGCCTGCATTATCCCGCAGTGCTGTGCGAGCAGCCCCACCTGGGCCTTGAACCCCTCCCCGGACACATCGTTGGGGAGTATCGGAGAAAGGTGCCCTGATCTCAGCCCAATGATATGGGCCTCAACCATGTAGTAGGACGTGTAAAAGCCGCACCGGTTGGCGTTGAAGTTTGCGGTGGTTAGGCGTCTGCCCCACTCAGCCGCATATCCCACATATTCTTCGAAGAAGTCGGGGACGGAGCTCCCGTTGAAGGCAAGACCCCTTACCAAGATCGCCTTTGCGACCCACTCTTCCACGTTGTGGTCGACCGTGTCACGGTACTTGCCGTCAAGAACTTCGTCTCGGAGCGAGTCGTGAAGTTTTCGGAAAATGCCATCCACGTCCTCTTTGTCGAGGTACTTAGGAGGCCGCATCCCAGACATCAACAAGGACCGGGCATCGACGGCGGGACTCTGCGAGTAGAGGGCCATTCCGATGGCGTTGGCGTCTGCGTTGTTCCACAGAGCGGGGACGACGCCCTCGTATTTTACCAGCCAGGGAGGAATCACCCCGTCGGTGCTCGCTATCGTG